ATTGGACTCTTAACTTGCTCTTTCCCCGGATCCGGTTCACACGGTTTTGTTAACCCAACCGGCCACTTTGCACTCTTCCTCAAGGCAGTTGTGGAAAAGCACCGATGGGCAGAAGTATGTGGAAGGTGGGAAAGAAAAGAAAGGGGGAGAGGGAGAAAAAGAGAAAAAAGAGACAGAAAGAAACAGAGAGAGAGAGAGAGAAAAAATAGAGACAGAAAGAGAAAAAGACAGCGGAAGAGACACAGAGAGGGAGAGAGACAGAAAGAAAGAGACAGAAAGAGAAAGGAAGACAGAGAAAGAGGGAAAAAGAAAGAGAGAGCTAAAGAAGGAGAATGAGAAAGACAAAGAGTCAGAAAGTGAGAGAAAAAAGAGAGACAGAAAGAGACAGCAAAAGAGAGAAAAGAGAGAATGAGAGAGGGAGAAAGAGAGAGATGGAGAAAGAAAGAAAAAGAGAGAGAAAAGAGAGAATGAGAGAGAGGGAGAGATAGAGAGACAGAAAGAAAGAGAAAGAGAGAGAAAAGAGAATGAGAGAGAGGGAGAAAGAGAGAGATAGAGAGAGACAGAAAGAGAGAGAAAAGAGAGAATGGGAGAGGTAGAAAGAGAGGTAGAGAGAGACAGAAAGAAAGAGAGAGAGAAAAGAGAGAATGAGAGAGAGGGAGAAAGAGAGAGATAGAGACAGAAAGAAAGAGAGAAAAGAGAGAATGAGAGAGGGAGAAAGAGAGAGATGGAGAAAAAGAGAGAGAAAAGAGAGAATGAGAGGGAGAAAGAGATAGAGACAGAAAGAGAGAGAAACAGAGAATGAGAGAGAGGGAGAGATAGACAGAAAGAAAGAGAAAGAGAGAGAAAAGAGAATGAGAGAGAGGGAGAAAGAGAGAGATAGAAAGAGACAGAAAGAGAGAGAAAAGAGAGAATGGGAGAGGTAGAAAGAGAGGTAGAGAGAGACAGAAAGAAAGAGAGAGAGAAAAGAGAGAATGAGAGAGAGGGAGAAAGAGAGAGATAGAGACAGAAAGAAAGAGAGAAAAGAGAGAATGGGAGAGGGAGAAAGAGAGATAGAGACAGAAAGAAAGAGAGAAAAGAGAGAATGAGAGAGGGAGAAAGAGAGATAGAGAGAGACAGAAAGAAAGAGAGAGAAAAGAGAGAATGAGAGAGAGGGAGAAAGAGAGAGATAGAGAGAGACAGAAAGAGAGAGAGAGAAAAGAGAGAAGGAGAGAGAGGGAGAAAGAGAAAGCGACAGAGAGAGAATATGAAAGAGAGAGAGAGAGAGAGGGTGGCGAGAGAGGGCTTGTGCAACCCGGACAGCGGGCAGGCGAAGGGACCAGCCCAGGCCAAGGCGGCTGAAGCGCGGGGCAAGCGCAGGAGCGGAAAACAAAGCAGGGCCGGGCGAGGAAGAGCCGCGCGCCCGTCTCCCCCCCCTCCCTCCCCGCCACCTTCCTTTCCGCGAGGCTGCGAAGCGAGTCCAAATAAGGTGTGATCGAGCCCCGTCAGCGCCTCCTTTCCCGCAGCCCGATTTGCCCTTATATGGGCATTTGAAGCGAGGGCGCGGGGGAAGCGCAGCGCCTGGCACACGGGCGCCCTCCGGCCGCATCGCCCGGGTACCGCAGTCGGGAAGGTGGGCAGCGCCCGGTGCGGATAGGGCTGCAAAAGGAAGGAGACAGGGAGGGAGGGAGGGAGGGAGAGATTGGATGGATGGATGGAGAGAGGAACGGATGGAGAAAAGGATGGAAGGAGAAATGGAGGGAGGGAGGGATGGGATATGGGAGGGAGATGGAGGGAGGGAGAAAAGGATGGAAGGGGGGAGAGATGGATGGATGGAGAGAGGGAGGGAGGGAGAGAGATGGAGGAAGGGGGCAAAGGGAGGGAGGGAGAAAGGGATGAAGGGAGGGAGAGATCGTGGATGGTTGGAGGGAGGGAGAGAGGGTTGGATGGAGCGATTGGAAGGATGGATGGAAAGAGGGATAGATAGATAGATGGATGGATGGATGGAGAGAGGAATGGATGGAGAAAAGGATGAAAGGAGAAATGGAGGGAGGAAGGGATGGGACAATGGAGAGAGCTGGAGGGAGGGAGAAAGGGATGGAGGGAGGGAGAGATCATGGATGGTTGGAGGGAGGGAGAGGGGGTGGATGGAGAGATTGGATGGATGGATGGATGGATGGAAAGAGGATAGATGGAGGGATGGATGGAGAGAGGAATGGACAGAGGGAGGGAGGGAGGGAGGGAGAAATGGGGAGGGAGGGAGAAAAGGATGGATGGATGGAGAAAAGGAGGGGGGTGGATGGCTGGAGAGAGGGATGGATGGAAGGATGGAGAATGGAGGGATGGAGAAAAGGATGGAGGAAGGGAGAAGCATGGAGGGAGGGGAGATGCAGGGATAGATGGATGAACAGCAACTTTTAAGAGGGCAGGACCTCAACTCCCAGAATTCCCCAGTAGGCACACTTGAAGATGGGTGGACTTTGACTCCCAGAATTCCCTAGTCATCGTGCTTTAAGATGGGTGCAGTTCAACTGCTTAACGACCGCTTGATTCATTTTTCACACTGGCAGCATCCCCGTGGCCATGCGATCAAAATTCAGCCGCTTGGCAACTGACTCGTATTTATGACGGTTGCAGTGCAGTGTTCCGGGTTTCCTTTTGTGACCTGATAAGCAGAGTCAATGGGGAAACCAGGTTCACTTAACAACCGGGTCACTAACTTAATCACTGGAGGGTTATTCAGTTAACAACTCTGGGCAATAAACAGTTGTACCCTGGGACAATTTAATAACTTTCTTGCTTAACCACAGGAATTTGAGGCTCTATTGTACATCAAGGACATCAATAGCTCGTATTTATGACGGTTGTAGCGTGACCTTCTGACGAGCAAATTGGAAAGCCTGATTCACTTAACAACCATGTAACTTACTTAACAAATGGCGCAAAAAACCTCACTTAACCAACATCTCCCTTAGCAACAGAAATGTGGTGTTGTAAATTGAGGATTACCTGTATAGATTGCTGCCTGTTTTTTTTGGGGGGGGGGGAGGGCTGACTCAGTTTTTTGTTCCACTCGTGTTAAATCCAACCCCACATCCTAGCTCCTGAATAAGGCATTCTACCCAACATTTTTTTCGCTAAATGTTGCATTCTCCGCCTCATATCACAATTATTGTCATGAAATTAACACACAAAAATAACCCATCCAATCTTTTCAAACCCATAAGCAGTTTTCACTCTTTATTCTTTAGTTTTTATTCCTTTTCTCCGCTCAAGAACCCTTTTTCCCAAATCACTTCAAGGGTTGAAGCAGATTGACAGCAACGAGTCAGAAGCAAACATCTTATGCCAGGAGACCATGATAAATGTGATTTCGGGCAACACCCTCCAACCAAACTTTTAAACATTAGTCACTGCCCTAGGTGATGAAAACATTTAAAAAAAAACAAGGCAGATTAAAATCGAACAGAGGCCAAATATGGGGAAAATCTAATAATGTTAGGCATGGCTGTGAAAGAGTTAAAAGTATAATTGCTGGAAGGAAAAAAACCTGGGGTGCCCCTCCTTTCCTTGTGCTCTAAACAGGGACATAGTTTTGTTCATGGTTAATAATCCAGGCTGGCTTTAAATGCCAGCTTTTTCTCCCAAAGAACAAATTGGTAGAGCTTAAGGCGCTAAATCAGATCAAAGGCCTGTTGAATCTCACATGCTGTTTCGGTGATAGTGGGAGAACTAGTTTTAAAATCTGGTTAAAGTATAACTAATCTGTAACAGGAAAGCCCTAATCTGTGGGGCGGCAGAAAGATTTATTCCAGTAAAAATGCTTGGAAATAATATCTCTTATTTGTAACTTCTTCAGTGAAAAGGATCTTTTAGCAGATGATGGGAAAAAAGAGACCTTTCTGATGAAAATCAGGATATAAATAGATTTACTATTATTATGAACAGGAACAAACAGCTAGGCTTGTAACCGGGATAAGCAGCTTACCTGAAGACTGATCCACCCCCAAAAAACTTCTGATTCCATCGAACAGTTTATGCTTGTCCAGAATAAGTAATATTGCACATAGCAACTGTGTACATAGGCCCCAGTATTTTGAAAATACATGACCCATATTTAATGCAGAGACATTTTAGCATTTGAAATAATAGAAAGTAGCTCGGGTTTTAGATTTTGGCAGTGGTTTGCTCTCCAAACTTGTTTCAAAGTAGTTTCTGAAACTTTTGATACCAGACTGGGTAAGATGATCAGCAAATTTTTCTTGTCCTATTCTTCTTAGCTTATAAATTTGAAATGTTTGAAGCAGGAATTTATTCATTCATTCATTCATTCATTCATTTATTCCCAACAGGAAAGCAATGTCTTAAAAAAAATAGATGGAGAGCACATGCTTTTTATCATCCTGGAGCAAAGAATAGATTTATAAGTTTAGATTATGGGCAGATGTGTTTATACACCATTGCTACTTTATATTTATTTTCCTTAACAGTTGCCCATGGTAAATATTGTACACGCCTCTTGGCTAGTATTTTTTAACCTTGGCAGCTTTAAGGACTTTCAACTCGCATAATTCCCCAGCCAGCATGCCTTACGAGCAGTATGAACCCAACTCCCAGAATTCCCACGCTGGCTTGGGAATTCTGCAAGCCAAAATGCAGGGATTGAGAAACACTGATTGAAGAGAATGACATAATTACCAAGTGTCTGTTTCCCCAGAATTATGCTGACTTGGGAATTCAAAAATTGAAGTCTATATTAAACCTCCTAAAGATTTAAAATATTCCTAAGACTGGAGAGGACAGTTAAAGAGGCAGATTTGTGATGCTTTTTTTGTATAGTTTGCTTTATATACAGAGTAAGATGGGCCAAGCGCAGTAAAATATTGAATTTTGTAGTATATTTTCTGCAAAGAGCAATTAGGAGCATTGGTGAAATCAGTAAGGACTTCTCTACATTTTCTATCTCTATGGCTTCCTCCGAAGAGGCACCACGGACGAACTGCGGCTGCGCCGACCAATCGGCGCACAGGCGCTCTGCCCGCCTGCAACTCTTTGGTGCAAAAAACTCGATGGTTTCCTGTTTTTAAAAGCACGAGAGCGCGAAAGGGAAAGAAAGCGGAGGGGAGAAAAAAGCCGCCGCCGGCCTTTGAAAAATGCCGAAACTGCCGCAGGAAGGCCCGAATCCTTTATTTACGCGATGGCTGGAGGAATGGCGCGACCAGGCCGAGGAGAACGGACGCCTCAAGAGCCAACGGGCCTATGAACGTGTAAGCCCCGCCCACCGCGGCAAGCCCCGCCTCCCATGAGTGTCTGTCTTGGGACACATTTTCTATTAAGGCAGATAACAGATAATCAGAGTTGGAAGGGACCTTCTAGGTCATCTAGTCCAACCCCCCCGCTCAAGCGGGAGAATAACGATATATATACATATATATACACACACATATATATTCATATATATATACATATATACATACATACATACATACATACATACATATATATATAATAAAAGATGCAATAATTAGCCCAGCTTTTGCTACAAGGTCATTTACAATAGTTGTTATCATAGCAATCAATGCAATTAGGCAGGAATCAGCATATCTATTAGTGCACTTCGCTTAATAAGAGCAGAGTTTTGAGTGTAAGTGAGACCAGCGTAACCATTTGTGTTTTAATCAGTATATTAATTAGATTGGTCATGAGAATTGGTAAGCGTGGTTATATTAATACCATTAAGCCAATTAATAATGTCTTTATGTTCATTATTCATCATACCAATGTCAGCGTGGATCCAAAAGGCAGGGTAATAATAATAATCTATGTATCACTATAATCATATACATAGATGATACATAGTGATACATAGATGACTGCTTATGAATCATGAAATTAAAAATGTATTAAGTGGTATAGGGCTTACTGCCTAAGCAGGGGGTTGGACTAGAAGACCTCCAAGGTCCCTTCCAACTATTCTACATTCTATTTTATTCTACATTCTATTCTATTCTTTATTCCGATATCCTGTCCTATCCTATCCTATCCTATCCTATCCTATCCTATCCTATTCTATTCTATTCTATTGAATTCTATTCTACATTCTATTCTACATTCTATTCTATTCTACATTTTATGCTATTCTACTTTGGTGCACTAACCAGGAACAATTTTGGTGATTCTTAGCTGATCACAATTATCTAGAGTCCATCTCTCTTTGTCGTGCGCAGGCCCTGAGCTCCCTCCGCAAGTACCCCCTCCCTCTGCGCAGTGGCCGCGAGGCTCGGATTCTGATGTATTTTGGGGAGAAGATCTGCCGTCAGCTGGATGAACAGCTGGAGAGACACCGCAGCAGCCAAGACGATACAGCACCAGCCGGTATGGAAGGAGAGGGGCCTGTGATCGCTATCGGTAGTTCTCAACTTACAAACGGTTGCTTAGCGACCGTTCACTAGGACCCACGCCAGGCTACTTATGACCCTGATTCAGACAGGAGGGCCCCGTACCCATGTTCACGCGATTGCATTCGGGGTGTTTCATATTGTGGTCGTAACTCGAGGACCACCTGAGTTGGTGTTCATTTTTTTTAATGTTCCTTTGAAAAAGCTTGAATAAGCATGACATACCGTTGTGGTTAGCCGGCAGCAGGTGTGGATGGCTGAGGAGAGCGAGGACTCAGATGAAGGGCCAGGACCATTAGGGAGTGGACTGCTGCCTTCAGAGATTGTGCGGACTGGCAGCAATGATGAGGAGGTTCCTGAGGAGCCTGTGCCAAGTGCGCGTGTGCGCAGGATTGCTCGTAGGAGAGAGCAGCTGCAGCAGCATGGGTGACTCGGGAGTAAGGCTGCAAGGTAATGGCCCCTCCTTCAAGAAGATAAAAGGCAGCTGTGGAACAAATGTACTTTGCAGAAGGCAAAGACATTTTGAAACTCAGCCTCGTGGACATTATAGTTAGTTAGTCTTTGAAAACTCTTGTAAACTATTTATTATCTGTGGGTTTTTGGCAGCCTTGAAAAACAACTTGGCAAGGCTCTTTCTTGTCAGAGCTAATTAGTTGGAAAAGCAGCGTTTTATCTGTGAAGAAAACAGAATTCGTAGATGAAACCTTAAAAGGTGGGGGCTGCTGCCTTTGTCTGGTGTTGGCTCTCTTCGAACCAGGTTGGGTCAGAACACACACTTCATGGCTCAGAAGCTTGGTTGAAAGAGTTTGTAACATGCATTCCAGGTGGGCCAATCCCAATGTCTCCTTGTAAAGGTCATGAAGACATTGATGATCCAACTTACAGCGATAGGCTGGTGCTACCACCTGCCCTGTCCTCTCTGGAGCCAGTCCAGCCTCAAGAGCAACCCTCAAAGGTGAGGAAGTCGGTATGGATAGTGTTCCTCCGCTCATTCCGGGGATGTTTGCAACTTTTTGTGCATGCAGGTAATTCTTGATGGACAGGGGAGAGGGGTGGAGAGAACTCGGAGTCCCCTGAACCCCGAGATGGACGACAAATAAATTTTATAACGACAATAGGCACCTTGCGTGCAATCTGAAAATAACTGGAGCGCCTCTTGATCATAGTTGGGCCGGGGGGAGGTTGGACTAGATGACCTACAAGGTCCCTTCCAACTCTGTAACTCATGGATCGGCATTGACCGAAATCACTGTCAGTCAATTGCGAAAGGCAACTTTACTCGGCAGAGCTGACGTCCTGCAAACCAGACCAGTGGTGGGATTCAATTTCTTTTTTTACTACCGGTTCTGTGGGTGTCACTTGGTAGGTGTGGCATGGTTGGTGGGTGTGGTTTGGTAGGCGTGGCAGAGGAAGGATACTGCAAAATCCCCATTCCCTCCCCACCCCACTGACCTGCTTTCCAGCTCCGACTCAGAACAGTGCAGAATAAAATAACGAGAGTTGGAAGGGAACTTGGAGGTCATCTAGTCCAACCCCCTGCCCAAGCAGGAGACCCTACACCATTTCTGACAGATGGGAGTCCAGTCTCCTCTTGAAAGCCTCCAGTGATGACGCTCTCACAGCTGTTCCATTGGTTGATTGTTCTCACTGTCAGAAAGTTTCTCCTTATTTCCAGGTTGAATCTCTCCTTGATCAGTTTCCATCCATTGACTCTATACAAGATTTCAGACAAACGGCTGTCCAGTCTCTTCTTCAAAACCTCCAGTGATGGAGCACCTATAACTTCTAGTGGCAAGCAGTTCCACTAGTTAATTGTTTTCCCTATCTAAAAAAATCGCCTTAGTTTTAGGTTGCTTTTCTCCTTGATTAGTTTCCATCCATTGCTTCCTCTCCTGCCTTCAGGTGTGTCAGAGAATAAGGTGACCTGCTCCTCTCTGTGACAGCCCCTCAAATGTTACAAGACTGCTATCAGAATAGTGGAGTTGGAAGGGACCTTGGAGGTCCTCTAGTCCAGCCCCTTGCTTAGGCAGAAAACCCTATACCATATCAGACAAACGGCTCTCCAGTCCCTTCTTAAAAACCTCCAGTGATGGAGCTCCCACAACTTCCAGAGGCAAACAATTCATAAACGGATTAATTGTTCCCACCATCAGGAAATTTTTCTTTAGTTCTAGGTTGGTTCTTGATAGATTATCAGTGGACAAAAATGCCAAATACAGT